ATTTCCATGTCTCCAAGATCAAATTCACCCCTTCAACTGCCGAGAACATCTCTGTACCCATCTCTCTACACTGATCCCATATCATTTTACAGATTTTCTATTCAGCCATCAGCAAATTCCTGTCTCCATTTGGTCCATCATCTGTGCCCTTTAGCAGAGTCATTATCAGTCAACAACTTCTCTTCAGGATAAAAAAACCGAAAGAACTGCAAATGCTGTAAATCAGGAACAAAAACAGAAGTTGCTGGAAAAGCTCAGCAGGTCTGGCAGCATCTGTGAAGGAAAATTCGAGTTAATGTGTGGGTCTGGTGACCCTCAGAACTGGTAGTAGCTGGGAAAAAGTCTATTTATACGATGAAAATAGGGAGGGGGATAGAGTAAGGAATAAACAATAGGATAGAGGCCGAAGAGAGAAAAAAGATGTTGGATGGACAAAGGAGTTGATAACGATTTGGCTAGGAGGGTGAATATCTATAAATGGGGACTGTGAGTGACTAACGATCGGTAGTGTGTAATGGCAGGCTATGTGATAACAAGGCCTGGTGTGTGGGGTACGGGACTAGGACATGAGATAGTTTTTGTCCCTAAAATTATTGAACTTGGTATTGAGTCCGGAGGGCTGCAGGGTCCCCAAGTGGAAAATGAGGTGTTGTTCTTTCAGCTTGCATTGAGCTTCGCTTAAATACTGCAGTAAGCCAGAGAGAGAGATGTTGGCAAGGGAACAGGGTGGTGTGTTAAAGTGGCAGGTAACTGGAAGCTCAGGGATTTTTGCAAGCAGAACATAGATGTTCTGCAAGGTGGTGGTCCAGTCTACGCTTCGTTTCCCCCAATTTAGAGGAGACAACATTGTGAGCAGTGAATGCGATAGACTAGATTCTGGGAAGTGCAGGTGAAGTGTTGCTTCACCTGGAAGGTACGTTTGGGCCCTTCCATACTGGGGAGGGAGGAGGTAAATGGGCAGGTGTTGCACCTTTGCCGGTTGCAAGGGAAGGTGCCATGGGGCTGTTAGGGGAGCAGGGGAAAGTGTGGGGGGTTTAGGTGTGATGGAAGAGTGGACCAGGGTGTCCCAAAGGGAACGGTCCCTGCGGAAGGCTGACAATGGAGGGGAGGGGAATGTGTGTCTGGAGGTGGCATCTCGCTGGAGGTGGCATCTCGCTGGAGGTGGCGGAAATAGCGTCTGACGATCTTCTGGATGTGGATGCTGGTGGGATGATAGGTAAGGACAAGGGGAACCCTATCGCTGCTGCTGGAGGGAAGAGAGTGGGTGAGGGCAAAAGTGCAGGAGATGGGTTGGAGCCAGTTGAGAGCCCTGTCGACAACGGTGCTGGGGAGTCCTTGGTTGAGGAAGAAGGTGGACATTTCGAAGGCTCCCTTGTTGAAATTGGCCTCATCTAAACATTTGCGATGGAGACTGAGAAACTGAGAGAATGGGATGGAGTCTTTACAGGAAGTAGGGTGTGAGGATGTATCGTCCAGGTAGCTGTGGGAGTCAGTGGGTTTATAATGGATATTAATGGCCCGTCTATCCTCAGAAATGGAAACAGGAAAAGGAGGAGTCAGAGATAGACCAGGTGAAAGTGTGGGCAGGGAGGAAATTGTAAGTGAAATTGATGAACTTTTCCAATTGCGGGCAAGAGAGGGGAGCAGCACTGACGATATCATCGATATATCAGAGAAAGACTTGTGGTCGAGGCCAGAATAGGACTGGAAAAAGAAATGTCCCACGTACCCCTCGAAGAGACAGGCATAACTCGCCCATGCGGGTACACATGGCTACCCATCTGACCTGAAGAAAATGAGAGGAGTTAAGAGAGAAGTTTTTGAGGGTAATGACGAGTTTGGCCAAGCACCACAGCCCCAAGGCACCTTCCCGTGCGACCGGCGAAGGTGCAATACCTGCCCATTTACCTCCTCCCTCCCCAGTATCCAAGAACCTAAACATACCTTTCAGGTGAAGCAACACTTCACCTGCACTTCCCAGAATCTAATCTGCTGCATTCACTGCTCACAATGTGGTCTCCACTACATTGGGGAAACGATGCATAGACTGGGTGACCGCTTCACAGAACATCTACATTCTGCTTGCAAAAGTCCCTGAGCTTCCAGTTGCCTGCCACTTTAACACACTATTCTGTTCCCTGGCCAACGTCTGTGTCTCTGGCTTGCTGCAGTATTCCTGCAAAGCCCAATGCAAGCTGGAAGAACAACACCTCATTTTCCGCTTGGGGACCCTGCAGCCCTCCGGACTCAATGTCGAGTTCAATAACTTTAGGGCCTAAAACTCTCCTATGTCCTAGCTCCATACCCCATACACCAGGCCTTGTTATCACAGAGCCGGCCATTACGTACTCACAGTTTCCATTAACAGCTATTCACCCTCCTAGCCAGATCATTATCAACTCCTTTGTCTATCCAACTGCTCTTCTCTCTCTTCGGGCTCTATCCTTTATCCTATCATTTATTCCCTACACCCTCCCCTCCCTATTTTCTGCATATAAACCAACGTTTTCCTAGCTACCATCAGTTCTGAGGAAGGGTCACCAGAGCCGAATGTTAACTCTGATTTTTTTTTTCCCCACAGATGCTGTCAGACCTGCTGAGCTTTTCCAGCAACTTCTGTTTTTGTTACTTCTTTTCAGGCCTATCTTTTTATGGATGCTGAAATTACCCCTGCTCAAAGACCCTACTAAATTTCTTCATTCACTGTAAGCACTGACCCATTTCCGTTTTCACAAGTCCTTTATCATTTTGTAACCCCAAAAATTTCAATAACTTGAGAATATAAAGTTGGAGGGCATCCTACCAATTATTTACGATGTGAATTTGTCCAATTTAGTTTCCAGCCCACGGACAGCATTACGGCTCCTCAAAATTTCTAGAGATATTTCAATATGACAGTGATCCCTGTGTGCTATTCCAATCAACTTCCCTTGATCTCCCTGTAATATTCAACATAAAGTATTGCTACTCCTGTTCCTATTTCTGATGGTCTTTCCTGAGTTTTTTTTTTATCCTTAATGTACTTGTAAAATAAAGGAAAATCCTAAATTATTTTACATGTCATGATCCTTTCATGTCACCTTTTTAATCTCAATTTCCCTTGTAAGTTCCTCTTGCGCATTCTATACTCGTTTAGGGCTTCAGCTGTTTGGAGTTCTCAGTATCTGCCAGAAGACTCAATTTTTCTCTTTACCCAAAGTTGCATATTCCTCAATATCCAGGGTTCATTTGAAATTGTTGGTCCCACCCATTATCTTTAATGGAACACGTCGGCCCTATACTCTCCGTATTCTTTTCCTGAATGCATCACACTGCTCTGACACAGATTTATCTAAAAAAAATCAACTCCCAGTTTATTCTGGTCAAATCATATCCAATCTTATTAAAATCGGCCTTCTCCCAATTCAGAATTTTGATGTCAGGCCCATCTTGTCCTTTTACTTAACAACCTTGAATCTAACAGAATTATGATTTCTGTCTGCAAAATGCTCAACCACTTGCCCGGCTTCATGACCCAAAATTAAGTCTAGGACTAGTCCACCCTTTTGTATGGCCTTTTATGTACTGGCCAATATAGGTAGGTTAAAAGAGTGGGCAAAAACTTGGCCGATGGAATATAATTTGGGAAAATGTGAGGTGATGCATTCTGGCAAGCAGAATAGAGGAGGTAAATATGACTTAAAGAAAGCTGCAACATTTGGATTTTGCGGTCCTTGTGCATGAATCACAAAAAGCTAGCATACAAGTGAAGGAACATGGAATGGAGCAGAAAAATAGGGAAGTCAGACCACAGCTAGAATAGCTCTCTGAACTGCTTTGATCCCCTTATCTAAGGGAAGATATGCTGCCACTGGAGACAGTCCAGATAAGGTTCACTTGGTTGATTCTAGAAGGAATTTTCTTATGAGGAGAGATTGAGTAAAATGGGCCTATACTCATTGGAGTTTAGAAGAATTACATGTGACCTCCACTGAAAAATAAGATTGTCTGGGGACTTGGCAGGGTAGATGAGAGGTTGCTTCCCCTTGTAGAAGAGTCCAGAAATGGAAGGCATAATTTAAGAGTAAGGGATTGTCCATTTAAGACAGAGATGAGGATGAATTTCTTCTCTCAGAGGATAGTGAATGTGTGGAATGCTTTACAATATAGCGCTGTAGAAGGTGGGTCATCAAGTATATTTAAGGCTGTGACAGACAGATTTTTAATCAGTGATGGAATCAGGGGTGGTGGGGAAAAGGCAGAAAAGTGAAGCGGAGGATTATCAGATTAGTGATGATCTCACTGAATGGTGGAGCAGACACAATGGGCCACAAATGGCTTACATCGGCTCCTACGTCTTATTGTCTGTATCACCTCAAAACTTAATTACTTGGAGTGTTCTTCTTACCAGCCGCCTGCAGTTTCCTTTCAGAAATTGCAACTCCTCCAAAACTTCTGCAATCTATCACATACAGCCTACTTGTAAATCATCTGTGCCATCATCAATCATTATCTATCTCCTTAACAACTTAGAGCTCTTCTAATTTGGATCTCGGTGAATCCACACAATTAGTTTACAGTCAACTCCAGCCCACATGTTGGAATCCTCGCCCCAATTATTTCTACTTCGCTACTTCACCTTTCCAAGTCTACACAACTTAAATCTTTGTGTCTTTCAGTCACCATTCTTAACATCTTATATCACTACCATTTCTTGTTTTCATCTCAAAATGTTTAATACATTTTATTAAATTAGAAGTGGTGTCCTTTTCATTTGTATCACCTCACATATGTATGACAGCTCATTGGAGTTTTGGTTTGCATCCAGAATCAGATGTTGGTTTGAACATAATAATTGTTTGGAAGACGACAAAATTGCAACAAAGGTTCTTTTCTACCCAAGCATAGGCTTAACATAGAAAAGCACATACTGAGTAATGTGAACACGCTGTAGATGAAGTGCTGTAGAGAATACAGAAAGTCCAGTAATACAGCATTCTAAACAGAATATGGATAAGTACCTGCAATGGTAAGGCTCCATCGATAGAATTCCAGAGAATCATTAATAAGGTGGACTACTGCATCCATGATTTCACCAAAAAATGATTATCTCTACAAAACCTATGAAAAATATCAAAATAAAGTTTGGCATGTTTCATAAATTATCTCAATCACATGATATTTTTATACCTTACTTCACCATATTGACAAGAAGGATGTCATAACATATAATAAAATCTAGCAAAATCCAATAAAATTCAAGTTACCTACATCAGGTATTTTGAAGCATCAACTTCAAGAGTAGAACTATGAATTTAGGTGAAAGCTTTGGTTCACGTGAGTCAGAATGTTGTGGATCAATGCCCCAGAACAAATATTTCAGCACATACTCTACAATGACACGTCAGCCCGAAGGAGAAACACTGTATTCTGGAAGAAAAGTGAAATCAAGTCTGCCATCTTTCCGGAGGGTAAAGATTTTATGTTACTATTTGCAGAAAAGCAGGGCGTTTTAACTGTCAACATTTATTCCTCAACTAACATGTAAAGCAAAATGATTTGGTCATTTATTTCATTGCCACTTGGGGTCTCTCCTGAAACCTCTCCATCTACATCTATGGGAATGTGTTAAGCACACTGCAAAAAAAAAATCAAGCTCTTTACTTTCATTCAGATGAATAATTCAAGCCCACCATTATCCAATACCAATGCACTCTAGCTATTGGCACCACTGTTTTTCATTTTCTTTTGTTATTTCGCATTCATTAAATTATTTTCATTGATAGGATAAACAAACAATTTGCTTCTGTATATGCCACCAGCTATTAGGACATTGAGATATCTTAGGGAATTATTTTGTAAGTTTTCTCATCTCAGGGAAAGGTGCCTCACTCAATTTATCACCTCTGCTAGAAAGTCAAGATATTCAGGTTTGAGCTGACAAATTACAAATAACATTTGCACCATACAAATGCCAGGCAATGACCATTTCTAACAAGTGAGAATCAAACCATTGCCCCTTACATTTAATGGTATTACTGTCACTGAATCCTTACTATCAACATCCCGGGGGGTTACTATTGACCAGAAACTGAATTGGACTCATCATATAACATTGTGGCTACAGTACAGTGCGGTGAGTAAATTTTTTAAAAAAAAATCTTTAAGATAATAGTGACAAAAAATGTCAGAGAAGCAGAAATTTCGAATCAAAACTAATTCAAACAATAATTGAGATGACATTTAAGGTTCAACTCTGTGATGAAGGGGTGAAGGAGAGACGGTTGGATGGAAGTAAGATTCAAATTTGTGTTAATTCTGATGCAAATTTATCACCTTATACCAAAGCCAACTAATACAATGACAGCAGCACAGACAGAAAATGCAGCAAATGTGCAGATGGATTTAATTTGTTTGATCGATAAAGTTCACAACTGAGAAGATCACTGGGACCGTTACTGGGAAAGGTGGGACTTGTACAAGCAGGATGGTCCGCACCTGAACTAGAATATGTCCAACATCCTTGTGGGTGGTGTTTGCGAGTGATGTTGGGAGGTACTAAACTTACTCAGTAGAAGAGGAGATCAAGATTGCTAGTAAAATAGAGACACAACATACTTAGTAAAGGCAGAGGCAGTTCAGCCATGATGCGTCTCAAAGGACTAAAGAACAAAGAAAATTACAGCACAGAAACAGGCCCTTCAGCCCTCCAAGCCTGCGCCGATCGAGATCCTCTATCTAAACCTGTCGCCTATTTTCCAAGGATCTGTATCCCTCTGCTCCCTGCCCTTTCATGTATCTGTCTAGAGTAAGGGGAGGCTGGATAGCCTCTACTTCAATGCTTGGAGTATTCTAGGTAAGACAGATGAGTTAAGGATGTGGATTGAGTTGTGGAATTGTGATGTTGTTGCCATCAGAGATATGGTTGAGGAACAGGAAGGACAGGCAACTCAACATTATAGGGTATAGGATCATCAAGCAGGACAAGGGTGTAAAAGAGATAGTGTCACTTTATTAATTATGGAGTAAGTTACTGCAACAGGAAGGGATGATGTTCTCAAAGTGTCTTCAAATGTGGGTAACCAAACAAAAAAGGGGGCAGACACACTGCTGGGACTATACTATACACTCTGGAACAGTCTGCAGACAACAGAACAGATAATGTAGACAGTTCAGTGAGGTCAGTAAAAGCAATAACAGGACAATTATATAAGGAGTTTTCAACTTTCCCAACATTAACTGGAATAGTCATACTATAAAGGGTTCAGAGGGGGCAGAGTTTTTTTTTGAAATGTGTTCAGGAGAGGTTTTTACATCAACATGCAGAAAGTCTAACCAGAGATACTGCAGTGTTGGACCTAATTCTGAAGAACTAAGCCAGACAAGTGTTCGAGGTGGCAATAGGGAGAGTATTTTAGTGATAACAACTCCAACACCATTTGTTACAAGTTTGTTTAAAAAAAAAGAACTGCAGGGCTGTAATAAGAAAAGGTTTTGATTGAGGAATGCATATTTTATTAGTAAGGCAAGATGCGGCCAAAATAGACTGAGAACAACTACTTCTGGGTAAATCTATAGCATATTTATAGCAGGTGTTGGGTGCGTGGCGGTGGCGGGGGGGAGCGGAGGTGTAGTGAAAAGGAAAGAGCACATGTTGTGTTTAGAATAAAATGTAGAAGCAGCAATCCCAGAAAACCCTGGATCTCTAGGAATATTCAGACTGGATAAGAAGGAACAGAGAGGCTTTTAATGAAGGGAGAAAATGAATGGAGGCTTAAGGAGAATACAGAAAGTTCAGGGATGAACTTAATAAAGCATTAGGAGATCAAAGAGGGGGCATGAAAATCATTGGAGGGTAAGATTAGGGAGAATTCCAAAAGCATTCTATATGCATATCAAGGGGCAAGAGGATAACCGGGGTAAGAGCCAGGCCCATTAAGGACCAAGGAAGCAAACTGTACATGGAGCCAGATGACATTGGTAGGGTGTTTAATGAGTACTTCACATCCATTTTTACTTTGGAGGAGGACGTGAGTACAGAATTCAGTAAGAGGCACTGTTAAGTTCTTGAGCAGTTTGACATAGGGAGTGAGGTAGTGTTGGAGGTTTGGTCAGGCTTAAAACTGGAAAAAAATCACCATTTTGGATCAGATGTTTCCAGAGATGCAAGAGGACAGCTAATGTAGTTCAACTTTTCATGAAGGGTGGTAGAGATAAACAAGGAAATTGCAGGCTAGTTAATCTCACATCAGTGATAAGGAAACTATTGGAGAAAATTCTGAAGGGAAGAATTAATCTCCACTTGGAGATGCAGGTTTGATCAGGGATGGTCAACATGGCTTTGTCAAAGGGAAATTTGATTGAATTTTAGGAAGAGTGGGCCACATGTGCAGATTTATGATGTAGTTTATATGGATTTCAACAAAGCCTTTGTCAAGGTCTCACATGGGAGATTGATAAAGAAGGTAAAAGCACATGGAATCCAAGGTAACTTGACAAGTTGAATCCAAGATTGGCTTAGCGGCAGAAGATACAGGGTGGTTGTAGAAGGCTGTTTGTGTGACTGGAGGCTGGTGTCCAGTGGCACACCACAGCGGTCAGTGCTGGGTCCCTTTTTGTTTGTGATATATACTAATCATATAGAAGAAAATCTGGGGGGCTGATACAAAGGTTGGGTGGATTGTTGACAGTCAGGAAGAAGGTCTGAAGTTACAGGATATAGATGGATTGGTCAGATGACAAATGGAATTTAATCCTGACAAATGTGAGGTGATGTACTTTGGAAGCGGTAACAAGACTAGTGGGTACTCAAATGGCAGAACACTAAGAAGCTCAGAGGAACAGAGGGATCTTGGAGGTGTTTCTCCAAAGATTTCTGGTGGCAGGAGGACAGGTTAATACAGTAGTAATTAAGGAGACATACAGGATGCTTGTCTTTATCAGTTGTGAATCAAATAATAAGAGTAGGGAGGTTATGTTGGTATTGTTTAGGACTTTGTAGGAGTTCTGGTCAATGCACTGTAGGAAGAAGGTGATTGCACTGGAGGGGGTGCAGCAGAGCTCCATGAGGATGTTGCCTGGGATGCAGCAGTTTAGCTATGAGGAGAGACATGATGAGCTCAGGTTGTTTTCTTAATAGCAGAAAGGCTGAGAGGGATCCTGATTAAGGTGTAGAAGATTATGAGGGACATGGACAAGGTGGATAGAAAGCAGCTGTTCTCCTTAGCTGAAGGGTCAATAACAAGGGACATAATTTTAAGGCGAAAGGCAGAAGGTTTAGATCGGATTTGAGGAAAATGTTTTCACCCAAAAAGACTGATAGAAATTGGTGTGCACTGCTTGGAAGGGTAGTTGAGGTGAAAAACCTCTCAATATTTAAAAGAATATTTTGATGAGCACTTGAAATTTCATATCTTCCAAGACTCTGGGCCAAGTGCTGGAAAGTGTAGATTTAGTGTTTTTTTCTTGACAGTGCAGACTTGATGGACTGAAAGGCCTATTCTGTATGACCATATGATATTTTCACACTGGTAAATGGACAGTACTGTCATAAATTATAATTGTACAAGTAGAATTGAATCAGTACAGTAAATTTTCACTTTCAAAGTCCAGAACATATGCAAGTAATTTCAAAAATTTCAGAATACACATTATTTAGGTTTTATAATGCACTGCTCAGAGCAATGTTGAGTTTTAGTTAACACAGTTCAGTAATGATAAACATTTGTAAATGGATACATTAGAGGATGAGACTAACCTCAAATATAAGGGGATGAGCTAGAAAGATAGATAAGAGAAGCTCAGTTTTAGTCTCGAAAAGCAATTAAAAGGAATTTCAGAACTCAAAAATATTTAAAATGGTGTAAGGGAACCAGCAATATAGAAACCTAGCATATAAATGAAAAATAGCTGAATATAAATTTAAATCAGCTACAGAATCACATTTGAAATAATCTGCCAGGCACAGTAGTCAATGAAAAATAATGCTCAATATGTATTTTGATTCTACATAACAAAAATTACATTAGTGGAATGAACTTCCATGGATCAAATGGTCTTTATTGTAGTTGAATTTTTTTTGTCCACCTTAAATATAGAGTGTCCCCAGAAATCAACAATGCTGCTCCACGGTGGCATACTGGTCAAATAACCAAATGTCTCTGAAAGCCTCCCATACTCTGGGCACTTTCAGCTCCACCAACAGCTTGTATGGATATCCATATGCACAAAATTGAATTACAGTTTGGCTCTTCTATTTCTAATGTCATTGCATTAAATTGTGCCTACTATTTCATTTCACACAGCTTTGGATATTTTCAAGGCAAATATTTTCTGCAATACAACCCAAATTTTCTCTGCAGGGTGTTTTCAACACTGATACGAACAATTAATTTATAAATATCCTTTGATTCACATTTAAACTGAAAAAT